GAGAAATTATTAATTTGACGGGGGAAAAAAAAAAAAAAATAAAAAAAAAAATACACACACGCGGGTATCCAAATATGTGCACAGATATTCGCTCATTTCCACTTAGAACTAAGATAAAAAAAAAAAAAAAAAAAAAAAAGAGGTTTACTATTTCAGTCACACGATTTTCCTCTCTCATCATCAAATGCGCTTTTCCCTAAATAAACATTACGCAAATAACGCAGTGTGTATCAGTATAGCGACTTAAACAATCGTAATTTTTGCACCAAAAAAAAAAAAAAAAAAAAATGAAGAAAACAATTGCACTCTTTGGTTCCCTGTGCCTGCTGCTTTCATACAGCAGCGTGTCGTCTGAAAAGTTAGGCATTCAGAAGAAGAAAAATAATCTGGAGCAGGATGCCATTCACATGTTGATGAAGAAGCTGGAGAGTTTGTACAAACTGAGCGCGACGGATAATGGAGAAGTCTTTAACAAAGAAATTGAGACTTTGAAAAAACAGATTGACCAGCTGCAGCAACAAGGGGGCGTAAACGAAGGGGAAAGTCTAGGTCACCTCCTAGAGAGCGATGCCGCAGATGAGTCCACCAAGAAGACCATTTTTGGAATGGACGAAGACGACCTGGATAACTACGATGCGGACTTCACAGGACAGAGCAAGGGAAAAATTAAGGGGCAGTCAAGTAAGTATCAGAAGAAAATAACCGGAAATGATGAAACCTCGGGGCAAGCATCCGGTACGGCAGGGCAATCCACGGGTAATCCAGCTAGCAGTGCGCCATCAGGAAATGAGACTTCCCAGGGTGCTCAAGCCTCAAGTGGTCCCAGTCTTAATACAGGAGCATCAGCAGGCACAACAAGCACGACAGGCACACAAACTTCAAGTCCATCAAGTCAGGGTACTGTCACAGGTGGAGCACCACAACAAGGTAGAATTGCACCCTCCACAGCTACTCATGGAGCAGGAAACCAAAATGCAGCACCATCTGTAGGCGGTCATGAGGGACATGCTCCACATGGACTCACCCCGGAAGTGAAGTACCTGGACAAGCTGTACGACGAAATACTTAAAACGACAAACTCGAACAACGGAATTCACGTCCCCGATTTCCACAGCAAGTATAATGACTTTAGAAAGAAGTACGAGTTTACCATGAATGAGCAGGAGTACCAAATTGTGAAAAACCTGTTTGACGCCTTCTTCAAGGAGGGAAATTCAAATGGCAATGGCGCCATTGCGTTCTTCAAAAAACTGTTGAATGACAATGGGTTACAAAAACAGTTTGACAATTTTCAGCATGGCCTCTACGGATTTGCAAAACGCCACAACTACTTGAGAGCAGATAAAAACGATAATGAAAAGCTGTACAAAGATCTTCTGAACAATATTATAAATTTGCTGAACACGATTGAAATGAAGTGATCTCGTCATCAGCAGTTTTTATGGCTAACCTTCTTTTTGATGTATGTCCGCTATATCTTTGAAGTACTGCCAATTGTTGTTAATTTTTAAAATTGAATTTTTTTTTTTTTTTTTTTTTTTTTTTTTTTTTTTTTTTTTTTTTTT